ATGAGTAATGTGATCATAGGTGTTAGCATTAGTATCACAGAGGCTCTGAGAACACTACAGCCATCGATGAGTAATGTGATCATAGGTGTTAGCATTAGTATCACAGAGGCTCTGAGAACACTACAGCCATCGTTGGCACGGTATATTTATCTACTACATTTGGAAACAGTGATCTTTAGTGATCTTTAGTGATGGTCAGTTGTTTTTTTTTCCTCACTAGTCACTGATGGTCATTTTTATAAATTACTGTTCTGTACATTTTTTTTTTGAAGAAGTTTCAAAGATTTTAGACAATCTTTGCTAAATATAACAGAATTGGCTTTATTCTGGGAGAAATAAAATAACATACTGTATCAGCTTTGCTCCAGATCTCCACCTTGTGTTCCTAGTTTATAACATACTAACGGGCAGCCTCATCCAACACAGCTAATTGTAATACTTGTATTCTGTACACAACCAATTATAAATAATTTTGCTGTTTTACAAAACAATGGTTTTGTATTATTTTATATGAATCTTTAATAATAACTAATATCATAATTAATTATTATGAAATTATCCATTTCAAGGGAAAATGTATGATTTGTGTTAAACAGTACTATTAACAGCACTGTGTATTAAATCACACTGTGTTATAACATCTTCCCCAAATATTGACCTCCAGCTGCATTCCTTCATTGTAAGTCTATCCATCCAGCTCATTGTCTTCTAGAATTTTGTCTCATAGTACTGGGCTGTCTGCATACAACAAAAAGGACACACATACACACACAGACACACACAGAGCCAACTTCGTCGTCCTTTTCCAAATGAATCGCTCTGTTCTCGGCTTACCATATTATTCCATGATCTGTGTTACTATGTGGGAGACTTTCATTGCCACGCTCCACGTGAACACGGCAAAACACGCCTTGCGGTAACATCACTGATCATTCAAGCCTTGGTCTCAGATGCTCTCTGCTCGACGCTGATGTTGAGTCATAGCAGCAACGTCACTGACAGGCCCTCGTCCAGGTACCCAACACTTTCTTTACCCAGAGAAACACCTAGTAAGTTCCAGCTACTAAACAACTAGTTAATGACAAACACTTTGTGTGTTGTGTTCACTGCCGAAAAACAAAGAAATGCAAGAATCATTTTCAAGTACTTCATTTGAGAAGTAAGTAACCCTGAATTGTTACTGTGTCGCTCTCTGGTGTCCATTTTTAGTCATTACAGTCTCCAACAACACCAAAAAGCCAGACCTCTCTACCCAGAAACGCATCCATATCACCCAAGAAAACATTACCTTTTCTCCCTTCTCAGGGAAAAAAAAACATTTCATCTGCCGTTCTCTTTCAAAAAAGGTATTTTTTTCCCTGAATTATCCCAGTCTGCCTCCTTCCTTGTGCACTAACACCTGGAAACATCTCTGCTGTTTTCCTGACACAGGCTTCCACATGCGACTGACCCTTATCCACCGAGAGATGCTGACCCGTCCTTTAGCCTTGCTTTACCCACACCTACAAACACGCACACAAACAGCCCATCGGTCCCTCACTCGCTCTCTCTCCCACTCTCCCTTTCTCTATCAGTCTGCTGTCAGTTCCACCCCTTTGCCACGATCCCTAGATCCCCTTACTCTTTGCTTGGGGGAGGGGGGGGGGGCTTCCCGACAACCGCTCTCCAGTCCCATCTGTGAGTGAGTCACGTGTGCCCCCACACCCAAGGCTCCTGGGGGATTCTCCACACCAGCGCGAGCAGCGTGCATCTTCATGTGTCAGTCTGGGAATCTGAACGAGCCAGCGAGTATCTTGGCAGGTCGTGTGCTTGAGCTGTTAGCTGGTGTGTGGATCATCTCTGCCTAGACCACCGCTGTGCATATCTCCGTCTAGTGACGTCCAATAGGAAACGCCCTCCTCCCCCAGTGCCTTTCTCCAGCCTCTGATGTCTAAAGTGTTACTGAGAGCTCCTGGGAAGACCGGGGGTGGGGGATGGAGAAGAAGCTGGACTGTACTTTGTTGGACAATGTTGATAGCGGTGTTTTTCTGGTGCTGTACTGGGCATCATGGTCTCTTTGTGATGATGTATTAGGTCTCCTAATCTGTGTTAAATCTCAGTGGATTCGATCCTTTCCAAACGGGTGGGTCCCGACCAGGGTGGTGCCAGCTGGTGCAGTGGTGGCGGTTTCAGCTCCTCGCTAGGGGGCGTGGCCACGGGCAGGGCTTGCGAGGGGGGCGTGGCCGGTGACGGGGCCGGCGACAGCTTGGACGAGAGCTGGCCGACACGCTGCTCCAAGGCTTGGTTCTTTTGCAGCATCTCCACGTAGCTGAGCTGCAGCTGGGCCTGGTACTGCAGCACGCGCTCCTTCTCACCCTGCCAGGTGTGGCGCTCCTGGGCGAAAGTGAGGGCCTGGCGCTCGCGCTGCTGGCGCTCTAACCGCAGCTCCCCCTGCAGGCGCTCCAGCTGTCGTCGCAGGTCGTCCGCCTCCTGTCGCTGCACCTTGGCCTCATCGCTCTGCAGGCTCAGCAGCGTCTCAGGTGGGGGGGCGGGCGCCGGCGCCGGCTCTGGGGGCCCATGAGGTAAGGGCGATGCCCCCCACGTGGCTCCCCCGCCCCGGCCCTCGCTCAGCTCCCCCAGGGCCTGCTTCAGCCCAAGCACCTCAGCCTCAAACACACCCAGTTTTTCCCTCAGCATGGCGACCTGCAGAGGCAGGATACAGAGAGACGAGAGACTCCATCAGTCTAACCACACAGATTCTGGTTCTTCACAGGACAGAGCCTCCGTGTGTGTGAAATGCAGACACACTAGTGCAGGGGCACGTGTGTTTGTCAGATACAGGGCAAGTGTGAGAGCAGTGAACCTGCATCAGAATGTGTTAGGATTAACAGGATTAAAATTAGGATTTGACATTGTGGGTACCTTTCCTCAAATCCACTTTCTTTCAAAACTGCACAAATGTCTTCAGTTTTCACTTTTAGCAGTTATTTGGTGTGTGTGTGTGTGTGTGTGGGGGGGGGGGGTCATGTGTATAATATTACATTGTGGTCCCCACAATGTGTGTTTTGATGCTGTGGAGACACTTTAGTCCCCACAAGGGGAAACTCAATTTTGCCAGAAGTCTTGTATTTTGTTTGGCTACTTATGGTTAAGGTTAGGGCTGGATAGGGGTTAGGGTCGTCATTGTTGGAATTGGCATTATGCCCATAGAAATGGAGTGTCCCTACAAAGATGAATACAAACATGTGTGTGTTGGTTGCCCTGTGTGTGTGTGTGTGTTGGTTGCCCTGTGTGTGTGTGGTTGTGTGTGTGTGTGCTCCTCTGTACCTCCGCCAGCGTCTTCTGCAGCTCGCCCTCACACCGCTCCAGCTCCAGGCTTTTGCTGCAGTAGGAGTCCTTCAGGCTCATCACAATCTCCTCCTTCTCCTTCAGCTGCGCGTTGAGCTCCTTCAGCTGGCCCCGTAGGGCCACCATCTCTCCCGCGCGCTGGGTCACCTCGCCCTGGCTTTCCCGGAGCTGCTGCTTCAGCAGCGAGATCTCCCCAGACTTCTGGCACACCTGGCCAGAGGGGTCGGCGTCATAAACAGGGAGCGCAGAGAGGGCGTCCACCAGCCAGTCCGTTACACCTCGGTTCATGCCCACCCGCTCGATTCGCTGCCGCTCCCACCCCCCCGGCTCACCTCCCACTTGGTTTCTTCCAGGCGAGGCAGGATGTCGGCCTGCTCCTTCCTGTAGTCCAGGCACTTCCTCTCCAGCTCCTCGCGGTGAGACAGCAGGGCAGTGAGGTCGTCCTGCAGCCGGCGCTTGTCCTGCTGCAGCCGTGTGATCTGCGCCTGCAGGGCCTGCTGCGTTCGCTGGGCGCGGCGCGTCACCTGCTGCAGCCGGCCGGCGTAGTTCTGCCGCAGCTCCTCCATCTCACGCTCCCACACACGCTGCTTCTCCTCGAACACCTGCACGATGGCCGCCTCACTCTGGTCCAGGTTCCGGCGCATGTGCAACACCTGCCGGGGGGGGGGGGGGGCATCCGGGCGAGGTCAGCTGACAGCCCAATGGGAGTGCTCGGCAAAATCCCAAACGGAAGCAAATACTCTCCCGAGTACATATTTTATACTTGCTTAGTGCTCCTACACTTACTGTGATCCCCTCATATGCACCGAGTAAACACTGTCACAGGATTTAAGCTATACTCATATTTTGAATGTGGTGGATGCAGTACCTCGCTGTCCACTGGGTGGCAGTGGTAAGCACAATGTTGTTGCTCAGAAAAGAGTGATGTAATATGCAAGAACAGCAACACCCATAGCAACCATTTACTTAACAGTAAAAAAAAACTATATGTTGTAACCTGTCTTCAAACTGTAAGACTGTATGAGAATGATGCATTACTAAAATTTAAAATCCAACTGCTAATCCTGACCAAGGGTTTTTTTTTGGGGGGGCGGGTGAAGCTTATCCCAGGTAGCAGAGGACATCTGAATGGGATGTCAGTACACAGGGATGACAGGACACATACACACACTACAGGCAATGTAGAGGCACCTATTAGCCTAAATGCATGTCCACGGGCTGAGGGAGGAGGTCTGCATGACGAGGGGGGGGCATGTGAACTACACACGCAGAAAGTCACGGTAGGATCCGTGGGGATGTGAGGTAATAGTGCTGACAACTGAGCCACCCCAGGGCTATGTATGCAACACCGGCTATGTATGCAACACCGGCTATGTATGCAACACCGGCTATGTATGCAATACATACAAAACATCACCCCCAACGAACATTTAAATGATCGGCAATACTTACAGTATGTATGAATATATCAAAAACGTACCACCTCTAGCTCTAACTGTGTTTCAATGGACTACAGTAGGGGTGGCCAACCTTTACATTTTTGGTTAATGTCTACCGGACTGGGGGGGCACTGGTGGGATTGTGTTCACCAAAGTGTAACCATTTCCATTTTTTCCAGATGTGAACAGAACGCATGAACGTGAAGGGGTATAACAAAATGACAATATATAGTTTATTTTTGGAAAGTAACCAACCTCTCCTCTCTCCAACCCCCCCCCCACTCCATGGCCCGGTAGAGTGCTGTGCTGGCTCAGACTGGCACCGCGGACTGGAGGATGGGAACCTCTACACTAGACGATTCAAATGAAAAACCGATAAAATGACAGGGATTCGCTCCCTGCCTCACTAATACTCACTAATTCCTGAATCAAATTCCATTTTTATTATAGTATAAGTATACTTTTAATGGTTAGGTGATCAATGCAGTAACTGTAATGTTATTTTCATCAGTGATTAAACAATAAAGTATCTGATAATAAGCTATAATACATTGAACAGTAATTTATTTTGTGATGTTCATTATGGCACTGACCACAAAAAGGACACATTTAATCACCAGCGCACAGATCCCTCCGTCTAGGGCTGTGCTGAGACCATGCTGCCACTATTGTCCAGCTGGATTGCTAGAGGCTTACGGGCACATGCAGAGCGGGACGGGTGTTGGGGCACAGTGACGAGCAGCTCTATTTCCTAGCCAACAGCAGCACACATACGGGAACTGTGTTAAGCGTCAACATTGTCCGCTTCACGAAGCCTCATCTGGGCACCACTTAGCGGTCGTGGACGACAAGAATGCTCTTGTAGCGTGAAGAGACACAACGCAAGGACAATAAATGCCACGCATATGACGCAAGTTTGCAGACGAGACAGAATGGTATGCAACATTTCAAAATTTCATGCAATATCTCTTCCCTGTTATCTGACGGGCTTTAGGACCTATCGAAACTACTCATGAACATAAATAAATACGTTTCTGAAGAATGTGTACGTCCTTTTCAATCATGCCTTCCCTTTGTCCAATCGCAAATCCTTACGGTTACAGATTCACCTTGGTTCCTCCATGAGAAACCTTGGTAATCATCACAGGAAGATACTTTCGGTCATGGGAAGCCAAAAATGAGATTTTACCTCTTTGCCTGAATTTCTCGTGCATTATATAAAACCCAAATAGTGATTTTGGGGCCCCAACCAAAAGGCCACCCTGGGACCACCATCCCCTCTTCATAATAAACAGCTAGCAATTAGAGCCAGAAGCTCATTGCTGGCTAACTGGTTAGCAGAACATGCTGCTTCAGCACCTTCTAAATACAGTATGGAACACATTTATTTAATATTTAGTGTTATGACCATTTATGGCCAAAAGGGGGCACAAACCCATGCTTGGATTGACTGGTGGTAAACAACACGACACCCCCATTTCTTAGGTGCTTTAGTCCTGCACCTGCAGGCACCTGCCCCCTCCAGGAGTATGGAAAATACACATGGACCTTGATCAAATGCGTCTGCTCACTGCTGCATTGTACTAAAATAAAACAATCGCTGCGCTGATCACTTTGGATACTCAATCCTACACAATGTCCTTTACCTCAGCCATCCCCTTTATAGAGTGTGCATTTGTGTTCAGCTCTCTGATTCAGACCTCAGCCAATCCGCTTCCTTTTCACACTGCAAGACTATCATGCCACAGAGTGGGCTTAGCTGACAGCACCAGGAAAAGCAGCAAAAAGCACGTGGAGTATCTGTAGTTGAATGGTCCATCCACCCATCATACATCCACCCATCTGTCCATCCTTGCATCCATCCATGCATCCATCAGCACTGATGCGGTTCAGGCTCACAGTGAACTAGCAAGAATCAGCTTCATTCATGTCACATGACCAGATCCTGCAACCCTGGCCCGTTACCTCCTGTTCCTTCTCCCAGAGTCTATCTTCCAAGTCCTGGATGATGTCATCGGAGGAGGGGGAGGGTCGTAGAGCCTGGGGGGCGTCGCTCAGGTGGCTGAGCCTCTGGTAGGAGGAAGAGCTCTTGCCTGAGGAGGAGCGTCCGCTGTCGGAGGCACTGAGCCCGTTCTGGTAGCCCGGCTTCTCCAGGCGGTCCAGATTGGCGCCGGCCGTGCCCAGCCGGTTGATGTGGCTGGTGGAGGCGCTGAGGGGCCCCAGCGCCTGCGAGGGGCCGCACGCCGAGCCCGAGCCCGTGTACGTGGGTAGGCTGGTCAGAGAGTTCCTCCCCGAGTCCGACAGTGCCCCCTGGCCACTCCGGCCTCCACTGGGGCTGTCGCTGCTCTGCTGGCTCCCTGCAGCACTGGGTCCCCCACCGGCCCCCACGCCCCGCCCCCCCACGGCGCCACCTCCAGCCTGCCCTACGAGGTTCTGCATGGAGTGGAAGCTCTTGGGCACCACGGGTTTGAAGGCGGAGGGACGCACCAGGCCGCTGTTGTTCTGCTGCAGATAAAGAGGGAACAGAAGGGACACGGAGCCACCATGCCACCCGTCTGGACAGGAAAACAGATGGAGACACTGAGATGCTGCTACACGCTTAGCATGGTCTGCAAGGTCCCGGGCCTCACCTGCTCCAGTTTCCCAGACACAGGCAGTATTTTGGGGGGGTTGGGGTTGTCCGGTTTGCTCCCACTGTTGCCCCTGTACTGTGTGGGCCCATGGGCGGGGGCATTGTTCCCACAGGCGTCCAGGCTGGCGCCTGCCCAGGGCCCCTCCCTCCGACCTGCCCCGTTGAGGAACATGGCGTTGGCCACCTGCCGCTCGCAGTTGGAGTTGGCGCGGTCGCTCTCGGAGACGGCACTGTCGGAGCCGGCAAGCGGGGGTCGGTCGGTGCTCCCGCCGCGCTCGTCGCTGGAGACGGTGCTCTCAGAGGGGGGTGGGGGGGGCCTCTCCGTGCTGCAGCTCCGGCCGCTGGGGCCACGGCGCGTGGGGGGCGGGGCCCGTGGCAGCGTGGTGCGAGTGCCGACGCTCTTCATGGCGAACTCCTGCTCGCCTGCCACTCCGCTGCCCACGCTGCCCATCCTGAGGGGGGCGCCTCACTTACTCGGCTCCCCGCAACCCACGGCGGCCATCGCAGGCACAAGGGGGGCGCCAGCTGATGGGCAAACACACTGAGAGAGAGCGGGGTGGGGTGGGGGAGGGGGGGGGGGTTACGGGAAGGGTTAACTGTGATGCTGTCCTGACTGTACACAGGGTACAAGTTTGGGCCACAGAGATGAGGATAGGGTCAGCAAGGACAGACACACACACACACACAGATACACGCAAAGACATAAAGGCACAGAGACATACACAGAGATACAAAGACTGACACAAAGGGGCTCACAAGCACACACAGAGGCACAGACACACACAAACACCGAAAGGCACAGACGGAAACAACGAGGGTCACAGACACACACAGGCACACAGCAGAAACAGAGAGCCAAGGTCAAATGCAGATTTATTTATTAACCGCTGATTACCGAAAAACTACGTGAATCCATACATCCACATTTAGGCTTCCTGTCACACACCCTCCTTGCACAGTAACATACCTGTATATATTTTATACACCAGGGGTGCGATATGTAGTATTATTTAGATTAAAATAATATATAATATCATCCATACACCTTATATCTCTATCCAACAGTTATATTATCTAAGACTGGGTTACAGCAAGCCTCCCTCATGAGTCATATTACACAAGGCAGGCTTCAGAGCAGACAGGGTGCCAGTCCAACACAGCGCACACACACACACACACACACACACA